TCCGTTATCACATCACGACAATGGCCAATGCTCGTAATGTTAGCTGGAAAAACGCAGCCCATTGTGGGCAACAAGCCAATCTTTCGTGTCCTTTATCTGCCCTTCGATTACAGTTTTGAGACAAGGGCATTGTTCGCGCAGGATACCATTCAAATTCAGGAAAGAAAACCAGTGCCTCATTGGGACTAGTCCACGCACTCCTTCACATTCCATCTTTCCTCAAGAAAAAACATTATGGCGTTTTGGTTGAGACGGGATATTCATGAAGCTTGGCATTGTTGCATGGCTGGTCGGCCGGATTTGACGAAACAAGAGAAAAGAGAGATCTGAAAAAGAGGGCAACCTCGCTTAGACATGAGTTGAGCCGAGCATTTGGTGGAATTAGGCTGCCATGTAAGGGGAGGAAGGAACTTTGCATTGGATCATGATGATGATGATGATGATGATGAGCATGATAGGACAGGAGTTGTCAAAGTTAGGAAGTCGAGGGAGAGGATAAAGGATCTTGCGGGTTCGGGATCTTTTTTTCGGTTTTTTTTTTCTTTCTTCTGTTTTTTAAGGTCAAATCACATTATTTCTCTTCTTCATCTTGTTATTTTAAGATACCGCATACCAAATTTTTATCTCGCTCGCTTTCCATTCTCGCCGTTCTCTTTGAAACCTAAAAACAGGATAGAGTCACTCGCCTCCCTGATGGGTAAATATGTTATTCGTATACTTTCTTCTTCTTCCTCTGTTTCTCATGGGCTTCATACTACCGTGTAGCTGTGCGTCTTGCTTGCTGTAGACTCCGAATCTCAAATGCTTTCGGGCCTGTATTATTTTACTTGGATGCTGTTTATGTGTTCTGGCTTGAGTTGAGTGTTATGATGTATGAGATGGTGATGATGATGATCTGGTCATGGGATTCGAAAATTGACAAGCTAAGTCCACGAGATATATATTATCTGACATGAATATCCCTGGGTATTGATGCCATTGTCTATCTCCGTATTCCGGCCCTACCATCTTCATCCCAAACAGTGCTTTTGTGATCGCCAAGGAGCAATTACCGCCCATAACCACCAACCCATCCAATCACCTGTCAAATCCCAAACCCCCCTTCCCTTTTCCCCCTTTTTACATCTCACCACACTGAGCAATCACCACATCCAGGTTCGGTACGTCCTTACCGCGGTATCCAGTCTTGGTGTTCTCCATCTTCCTGACGACATCCATTCCATCCACGACTTTACCAAACACGACGTGCTTGCCGTCCAGGAAGGGGGTTGGGACCGTAGTGATGAAGAATTGCGAGCCGTTTGTGTTTGGGCCGGCATTCTTTCCGTTCGCTTCAGTCAGTTTCTTTCTTTACCCTGGGTGGATATGTGATGAGGTAGGTAGATGGTATGTAGAGGGAGGAAGACAGAGGGTAAGCGTGGAAGGAGAGAGAGAGAGGAACGTGTGTGGGGAAAATGGAGTGTATGGAAAGAAGGAAGGAAAAAACTACTCACAGCCATAGAAAGCAACCCAGGCGAATCATGCTTCAGCAAGAAATTCTCGTCCGCAAAGCTCTTGGTGCCGTAGATGCAAGTTGAGCCGGTGCCATCGCCGTTGAGAAAGTCACCGCCTTGGCACATGAAGTTGGGGATCTGTTTGTTCTTTCCGTTAACCTTCACCACCAGCCCATTTTTTTTTCCCCCATCTTTCCCACGAGGACAGACACAACATGAAGAGGAAAGAATAGAATGAAAGGAGACATACAATCCGATGGAACTTGCTCCCCTTATACCCCTGCGGCCGACCGAGGTTGTTCTTGCTCTCGCCCGTGCAGAACTGCCGGAAGTTCTCGGCCGTCTTGGGGACTACGTCCTTGAAGAGCTCGAAGGTGATGCGGCCGAGGGGCTCACCCCCGAGCGTGATGTCGAAGAAGACTCTAATTATGTTGTTGAGTTAGTTTACAGGAAATGGATTGTTGAATTTCTGGTATGACAAGACTTCTGATGGTGCGTGATGATTGTAGATATCGAGGAAGGTTGTCGAGTGGAGGTGTAGAAGTGTAATGTAAATTCTGGGGTTGTTGGTGCAGTGGTGATGGAAACAAGGTGCGGAAATGAGCTGCTTTGGAGTTCAAGCATAAGGGATGGGTGCGGTTCGGAAATGGGGGTAAATCCGTTCATGGATGACAAGTTCATGTGAAAACCAAACCACATTGAAAACGGCAGAAAGTAGGTGTTGTGAAATATGAAACATGTCCGTGGAGGATGATAACACGGAAACTTGTTGACGAATTCAACTTGACAAAGGAGAGACGGGAGGTACATGGGTACTTGATACAGCGCAGGTGCTCACAACCATAGCTGGGACTTACAGCGGGTTGCCAGAGGCAGGGAGAACGGTGGGTGCCATCTTTTCGGGTTTATTCTCTTGACTTGATCTGAAAAGTTTAACTCGGGGTAGTTCGACTACTATTCGTCGAAATTTCAACTAGGTCGATTTCTTGGGTAGTGCGTGCGAATTTGGGTTTGTTCGTCGCCGACTGGTGGTTTCGATGTTGTTTGAGACCACATGGAGTTTTGCGAGGGAGAGCGCGAGGGTTCTACGCAATCCCAGATGCCCCGGTATTCTCGAGTTGTCTGACAGGTGGTTGGCAGCTTTCACCAGCTGTCAGTATTTGACGTTATGAAGGAGGCTGCTGTAACTTCTAGCCATCCCTCTTCCGACACTCGAAAAGTACCAGCTATAGCATAGTCTTATGAATTCATTCGACCGTGTCTCAATTTTTGGGTAGAGAGATGGCCTGTGAATCACCGCCCATCAAGCCTTCTTATGTCATAATCCTGACTTTCACAGCTCCTCCCAAAACAGAACAAATCCGCCCAAAACAAGACACATTACAGCCGCACATTCCCCCTTTCCTTCAACGCCCAAAGTAGCTCTTCTCCCAATACCTCAATTCCATGTGACTCACAATATAACCCCTCAAAACAGATTCAAATCTCCCGTAAACTCTACCCCCATAGTGTTAACAAAGTACCATCAGTCATCGGCAACCGTTCGATCCCTCGCTCTTCTACGCCCCATCGTCCTGTTATTCGATGTAGCTTGGCGTAGATACTGTTTCTCACGTAGAACTCCTCCTTGTGAGCCATGCTTTCGTTGTTACTGGGGTCGAAGTCGTCATTTTCAACCTGGACCGCAACTTCGTCTTTCTCTGATGCAGTTGAGGGCTGTCCAAGGTCGCTTTCTCCTGTTATCTGATAGTGGTGGGTATGGACACCCATTGTTGGTGGCGCCGGTCAAAGCTTCGATATTCGACAACTGCTGGTGTAATGTCGAGATATTGTAAATATAGAGTCTCGAATGGAAGGGTTTCCTTGATTGGGCAAAAGGAAAAATTAAGCTACTTTATGTACCCAGTCTCGTTACTGACCGGTAGACTCCGCTCGATATGAGTTTGCACTGCGAACCAAGAACAGCCATCTCAAGCCTTAAAACACTTCCATTCCGTAGCAAAAAAACGGGTACAGAGGCCGCCGCTTCCACGCATAGAATGGTAGCCATGGTTCCGGTACTCGACCTGGAAATTCAATCTGGTGAGTTAATGGCGGACGGCATATCTGCTGCTGTTGCTTGTGCAAGGACCCCGCTTCATGGTAGCATCATTGCGGCTCACCTTCGCCCTACGCGGCCTGAGAGAAGATGGCTGGTGGTCGGATATTGACAGATTAGCACTACTCCGCCAAACTGGCCAAATATGGAGCTTCCCGCAGGTGACGGAAGTGGGCACAACCTTCTCACCTATACTCTCGCAGCCAAGATGGATGAAGTATATACTGTATACGGGGTGCACGATGAAGTAAATAACTTCTATATTCCGATCAGTGCTGTATCGTTCGACCATATCTCGCCTTTCCAGCGTGGCCAAGCTTGATGATCTTGAATCTCGGGCATGATCACTCTTGGCTATGGCAGTTGTCGCTACGTTAGACTGCATATTGCAAGGGCTAGGTTTGCAAAGCATGGTTCAGTGCAATCGAACATACATACATCAATCTGATGTTTGTTGGAGATGGTTTTCTGCCGACAAAGTTGAAGCTGTGGTTAAAAGAAACTCTCAAAAAGCAAACTCGGAGTTCTCAACGCGGACTTTGATGGACGGTCGACTTTGGACTTGTGTAAATGTTTCGATCTTGAGTGTTACAGGTGGCAATGTATCGAGAGACGGGACAAGGGCAATACAACTGTCGTGGCACTTTCACTGCGTATTTCGAGTACCAAATGTAACCTTCAGTTACAATTCGTAGCCATAATGTAAGTCGATGCGATTGGATCTTGAACTTGACCAAGTCCGAGGCCTCAACTTCAAGCTCGTGAGTCAAGTTCTGATCATGGACATACCGTCCCCCTTGGAGAGGAGTCAATGCCGTAGATCGCATGCCACAATGAGAACAAATTGTGCAAAATCATACACGCAGCGGTGTCGGCACAGGGGCCTGACGAAGATGTTATATGATCTCTAAAGCTGTCCCAAGTTCGCGCCTAGATATCTGAAGACCATACCTCGCCAATCTCTAGAAATACGCATCCGACTTCATTCCCTCCAAAACTCTTCGTACCTTCCTTTCCCACTGCTTCCCTGCTCATCACAAAATTATGATGTCCTTCCTCCTGTGCGCCCTTTTCCTGTCCCTTCTATCCCCTCAGCCATTTACTAACGATGCCAACTTTACCCCATTCAAACCATGGTGTACCCATACGTGATGATAGCTAGTCTGATACCACATTGCGTCAAGGAAAGCCTGCCTTTCTAGAGGCAACTTAAGAGAAGTGGGAGGTTTATCTCTTGCCAAATGCCAACCCCATGATATTATTATCATACCGGCATGGGTTAAGAGGGTGGGTATGGCCTGAGCAAAACTTGCTGTCAATCACGGATTCTAAGCCCACGGACAGCTACGCAGCTGGCAGCTAATTAAGAGGACCCATGTCCCCGTCTGAGAGGGCAACGTGGGCATCTTTTACCACTCATATTCCCCATTGGCTTTATGGAAGACATATTCCTTGCCGTTGACAGTCAAGACACCATCCTTGAGGGTGCACTTCCTATAGCAATTATCAGTAGCTGGTTCCTCGACTCGTACCACACTATCATGAAAGAGATACTTACCACTTATTCTTGACGCGCTGCACCTTGTCATACAAGCAGAGCATGATCCAGCCACTAGCCTCATCCTCTTCGTCGTCGTCATCCCTTTCATCCTCAGGGTCATCAAGATCCGAGTTGATGGCATCTTCGTCAAACTCGTCATCGTCCTCATCATTTCCATCAAGCTGATTCGGACCACCGGCGGCGGCCGCACGGCGACTCTTGGTGGCGTTACTCCTCTGCTTGGTGGCTTCCTTCAACGGAAGCATCAGGCCGCCTCCTTCCCTCTGTTTGGCTCTTTCTAGGAGCTGGGCGTGAAGCAGGTTGTCGATCTCGACGCGACCCATCTCGACCGGATTGCCGTCCGCATCGCGACGCATCAGGACACCGTCAAATCCGTCGCTGGAGCCATCTACCTGCGCGCCACCGAGACCGTTCTGCTGGCTGAGAGGCTGCGGCTGTCCAGGCTGCCCAGGCTGCTGTGGTATGCGCTGCTGCATCTGAGCGGCAACAGTCTGCTGATATTGCTGCTGTGGGCTAAACTGCTGCTGCTGCTGCTGCTGTTGTGGTGTTGGTGGTGGTGGTGGTGCCTGTCCGGGAATCTGCGGCTGTTGAGTTTGCTGGTGAATAGCGTTGATGGAAGCCTGGGCCTGCGATCCGTACCGATTTGCGATGGCTTGGGCAGCCCGCTGGGCAGCCATACCACCACGAGCGGCGTTGTTTCCAGGGTAGGCGGGGTGCATCATGGGCTGCATAGTACCCGGTTCTTGCTTGATGGTAGGCTCGTTCGCCATGCCTGGTTCACTCTTGATAGCGACGCCATTGCCGTTAGGCTGGCCGCCAGGATGCGACGGGGACTGAGCGGCCGTTTGTGGACTCAGGGTCGACTGAGTGTAGTTGGCCGTTGGTTGCTGGGTAGCAGCCGCCTGCGCATTAACGGCAGAAGAAGTGTTCTGCGTGGCCTGCGCCGGCGGTGGTGCTTCAGGCTTGGGGTCCCAAGGAAACTGAGCAATGTTGAGCTGGGACAGCTTGTGTTGCCATCCCTATCAAGACACGTTAGTTACATGTTATCAGCAAGGAAAAGGCAGTGTTAGTTTCTGCCGCGTCATGGAATAGGGTGCTCGTGCTTTTGGGGATACAGAAGACGAAACACTATGAATGCTGTAAAAAAGAGTTCATATTCATGCGCTCGGGCGGCTTGGGGCTGACTGGCAGTGATGGCCACCAGGAAGCGGCACGTGCTGCTGCACTTGGATGGTCCAATCGGAAGCGATGTCGTGGGAGAGGGGAAGCCTGACTGGGAACTTAAAAAGAGACCCAAAAGGCCCTGGGTCGCCCGCCCCCGAATACTGCCTGCTCCTCCACCCTCTCTTTGCGCTGCGGAGGCCAAGGTCGCCGCAGAGGGAGCCAACGTCGAGAAACCGACACTTGTCGTCGACACAACGAGTGTAGCACTGACGCTGGAGCTTGCTCACTCATCGAAATGGCTGCAGAATAGTATAGGGCATACAAAAACGACAAGACAAAACACCGGGAATCGACATTGTGGGAAGGAAAGATGCGACGCGGATGAGGGAAGGACGGGGAAAGTCAAGAATGGTTCACCTTCTTTAGTTCTTCCAGAACACTATCGTCGACACCATTCTCTTCGAAGTCAACGCGCACAGCGTTGATCACCTCGTTGATAATGTGCTCGTAGACGGTACCGACAGCCGCGTTGGACATGGTGACTGACTGATTAGAGCGGAGGTGATGGACGGATGTGCGTATTGAGTGCTGGCTGATCGGGTGAGGCTTGCGTGCCTGCTGTTGACGATGCCTTCCTGAGGCAAGGGGATGGACAAGAGCTAATTGCCTGTTTGCGTGGGTTGGCGGTTGCGGCTGGTCGACTGACTGGGACACAAGAGCCTCCAGTTGATACTATGATGCTTGTCTTATTCTTCCACACGATAATGGGGACGCGTTTATGTCAGCAAATCGAACGCCCTGCTTGCTGCTGTTCTCTCCTTCTACGCCGTCGTCTCTCAGCGCGGACTCAAAAAAGACAGTTGGCGATGTTTTTGTTGGAATCCCAAAGGTCGCGTGTGTGACGAGAGAGATCTGCCTAGATGTTATGTTGTGTGTGGAGTTGGCGTGAGTGAGTGTGAGGTGGTCGGGGACTCGTGGGTTGTGCGGATCCAACGATGCGAGAAGTCGCCGCCTTTTTGAGAAGTTCTCGTCCTTGAAACCTGCGCTCGGTACTTCTTCTTCTTCCACCTTCTCACGCTTTCTGAGCCGCCGTCAGACTGCACTCTAGGAACTCTTTCGTAGTGAATTGTATTACTAGTTGGTAGGGCGCAATATCCAGAAGTGCTCGGCAGTGTTGCAACAGCGCGGATGTGCTGTCTTGATTCACGAGCGGATGGCGCTTCAGTAGGTGTGGTGAAATGGGTAAGTTTAGACTGTCCTGCCATTCCCGCTTTGAAGTTTCCCTGGCCACCCCCCCTGCTTAGTCAGCCGGCCGCCAACCTGAACAGCCGGAGCCGCGGCTACTGCCACTGCCGGTCTGACGGCAACGCGCCCGCAGTGATGACTGCCCTGTACGCTGAAAGCTTGCGCCCTGCAACAGTTCAGCCCTGCAACCCTGCAGCCCTGCAATCCCACTCCGTCATAACGGCCCGAGGACGGGATGCCTAGAAGCGAACAACATGCCCCCTGGGCTGTTAGGTACAGAGCACCTGGTGAATCGCTTCATCCCACAACTTGATATCGGATCAAATCTCTTCACCCGCGCAAATCGATCACACTGTTGGCTCGTGTAAACAACGGCAGTGAAGCCGCAATTCAACCAACAGTCCGATACAATCCTATCATTGCTCATGAGGTCCCGCTGGTGATGCACCATTTTTTTTTCGACTCTAGTAATACTACATATTCCTATGCCATATAAACTTGAACAGTTCATAGTAGCAAGGTTCTGAACAATTACCGTACAATACCGATCAGACATGATCAGGTACAGATGGAGTATGTAACTTTTGATACAAATTCTCTTGTCATCATAACTTCGTGATCCAGCCAAAATCCTTCCATGTATGTGCCCGCTTCACCCAATGGCCTCGTGCAGGCCGGGCTAGGAACCACAGCTGTCAAACCCTCCAAAACGCCGTGCTGAAACGACCAAGTAACCCGAGAAAACAAAGCAACCGCTGCCAACCCAAGTTGACGTCGTTATATAAACAGTAAAAGCGCTTAGCGGATTGTCATCTGCTTCGCCATGGTCGCCTTCGAAGATGTGCCAGCGCCACTGATACCAGCACCGGAGCCGGCCTTCTTCTCAAAGATCTTCCAGAACTTCAAACTTTCGTCGGCGGCTAGTAATCCCAGTCAGTATGAGCTTCAATCAGCTATTTTCACACAGACTTCACTTACCAGCTGTGGCGAGCATCTGCCCATCGGGACTAAGACAGCTATGGAGGACTCGGCTCTCATGAGCAGGAATCTCAACATTGCGGACCAGAGTGGGGTAACTCCAGATGCTGAGCGAATTATCGGGGTAACCGCTGGAACTCACGATTTCGCGATAGTGGGGGCTCCATCGGAGACTGGTGACCTGGGAGCCCGTGTCGATGCTGTTGACGCGTGCACCGGAAGTGGTGTTCCAGAAATGAATGTGACGATCGTAGGCACCTCCACCAGTGGCTAACAGATTGATGTTCCAGGGGCACCACGCGAGAGCCTTGACGGCAGCTTTATGGTTGGTCTTGGTGAACTTTGGAACAGCAAGGGACCGGGCATCCCAAATCGATACAAGATTGTCGTTTCCGCCGGTAGCAAGCTGGGCGCCATCAGACCGCCACTCGAGGCCGCAAACCTCCGATGTATGCGAAACCAGTTCAGCCACCTTGTGCTCGGCGATACGGACATCATGGTTGAACACCAAACCGCTTCGTGCACCTGTCGATAGAAGATGCTTGCTCCAGCCCATAACACCAACTCGACTGTCATGACCAAACATGCTGCGGATCTTGATGCCTTCGGCAACATCCCAGATCTGGACCTCACCGGTGCCGAGTCCCACGCCCACGTATGCTCCATCACCGGACCACTTGACACTGCTCACGTACGTGTCAGGAGAAGTTTCCAGCAGGCAGTTGACCGACCCCTCATCAGCCGACCAGACATAGACGTTCCGTTCCAGGCCAATGGCGACCTGGTTTCCCGAGCTCCAGTCCAATAGGTTAAGGTAGTAGTCGTCAATCAGACCAGGAGCATCAAGGACACGCTCAGGAGCTGTAGCGACGCGGCGTCGGAATTGTGTTGCCGAGTTGGCGGCCTTCAAAGGGCGATTGTATTGCTGGCGGAGATCGATGGGTTTGGAGGACTCAGGAGGAGCTGGTTTAAACTGCAAAATTCGAGTGTTGACGTTCATTCCGCAGGCATTAGCCAATGAGTCTTGATAAGCGACGGTGTTGGGAGATGGCCGGGCGTATGTCTCGGCCTCATCGTCATCGAGGAGCAGGGAATCGAATTCAAGCTGCTCAGTAGCATCGTCTGCAGGAGAGGCGAGAGCTGTTGAGTTGGACGATTCGCCGTTCCTGGACTTTGGCCGCTTCTGATCCCGCATGTTAAGCTTTCCGGAACCACCGTTGGCAATAGCCGAGCTTGAGCCTCGGTTGGGGATGAAGCGATCGGCATTGAGAGTAACGGTCGTCTTGATCGGCTTTGCCTTGATCTTGGTCTTCTTCGGCTTCGGGGTAGGTGCTGTCTGAGTTTGTTCTTGCGCCTGAGCGCCAGTGCCGGTGAGAGTGAACTCGGATACGCCAAGCTCGAGAGCTTTCTTGGGAGTCGACGCTCCGCGAGCAATATTGGACTTGGGCGAGTCCCAGTTGGTCTTGTTTGAGGCCGCTCGTGCAAGCTGCGAGCTAATGTTACCAGGGTAGACCGTCTTGGCAGGTGCTCGCTGGCCATCGTTGCTTGTCTTGTCCTTGTTAAAAGGGGAAGAGTTGACGTTCGCATTATGATGAGGAGAGGGGGTCAAGGGCACACGGCCGCCGGCGGTGCGACTCGAGAAAAGACCCGTATGGGACTTCTTAGGTGTCGTGACTGATGGAGTAGCCATGTTTGTTACTGTGACCATAAAACAGTAGGTATGTACCACTATGTCAACAAGCCATAGTTAGCAAACTAAGCAACACATATAGGTATATTTCCACAAGGTGGTGGTGCTTACCGTTTAGGGGGGTTGAAGGTGTCGAGGAGTTCCGATTAACCGAAAGAGCTCCAAGAGACTCAAGTTAATGGCTCCTGGAAGGTTAGTACGTTCTGATTGCGGATGATCGGCTAAATCGGAGGGTTCCTTGGACGAGATACGTCTCAAAGTCGGCGGGTCGATCGATTGACTGCAACAGCAAGCTGATCTAATGGACTTGAGGAAGTCTGCGTTCAAGGATATGGCGCGCTGCAAAGTTTTGTCTTGATGGTATGATTGCTTTATGCAAATAGTTGCAAGGGAGAAGCAAAAGCTTGAGGAGAGCAATCAAAGAAAGGCCAAGAGGCGCAAATGCGGTTTTCTTGCAGCGTGGAAATGTGGTTGTGATGGATTGGAAGGAGAAGGCGGGCCGAAGATTAGTTTACTTTCAAAAGGACGACCTGTTTTGTCTGCACAACGTGGTTGCCATGGTAACGAGTGGCAGCTGGCGGGCTGCCACCCAACGCTTGGACAAAAGGCGGTAGCAGCACACGCTCCGCAAGGCCCTCCGCCGCAACCAGTCTTGGCAAGATTCCACTTCACGACCCGCCGCAGGCATCTCCAGGTCCACTTCCCTTTGAACCAACCCCATTAAGGTGGATCCATTCAAAGCGTCGTCCCCCCGGTACATAGTATCCACTGCCCGTGCCAGGCCCGCTCGCTCCAGGTCCTCCAGAAGGACCACGGTGGAGTTCCGTTCTCTGATTGCCGCGTTGCGCTGCCCTGCGCATGATCCTGTCGTCGACGACAAGCACGAGCCGGCCAGCATGGATCGATTGAACTGAACGAACACCACACAACCTCGCCTGCCTGCGATTCATATTCATCCTTAACGAATAGGTATTACCCTGTCATTAGTCACGAGACCTGTGTCGCCGTTTCTCGACCTTTCGACTGCTCCAAGGACGAAACGACCAAGCCAACTTTTGGGCGCCATACTTAGCATGTGGGATTAGATCGACTGCGACAATCAAACGCTTCACGCTTCATGCTTCATGCTTGAGAAGCGCGACAGTCCACGAAAGCATCCGTCAAATAATCAATCTCCAAGACAGGCAACAGGCCGACAGGTGCCAAGGAATCCGCAGCTATGGCGCACCCTTCGACGCCCGCAGGACACTCTCCCTCCATCTTTGGAGGTCCAACTCCAGTCATGTCCGGCGCTGGACAACCTTCGATCCCCTCCTCGTCCATGACGACTTCAACTCTCACACCAGCCTCGGCTGCCTCTTCCAACAATACCTACATTATGCCAAACTCTCCCTTTAAAAACCGTGGTGATGGGTACCGTCCCAAAGTCACACGGACTCTCGGACAGCGTCCTGCCTGTCTTGTCAACGCATCCGTCACCTACTGCGGCAACAACCAAATTTACGCTTTCGGCGGTTTCGATCAATACACAGATGAGGTCTACAATCATGTGCTGAGACTGGACCTGGTCAGTCATCAATGGAGCCTAGTTGACAACTATGGCGACATTCCCGGTGTTCGAATGGGTTAGTGTTACTTAATCCCATAATGTCTTCTATATCTTTCTGTTTCTCCTCTTCTTGCACCTAGTTGACTTATCTCTTCGGTAGGCCATACTGCGACCCTGTATAAGGGAGACAAACTCCTGGTGTTTGGTGGCGAAAACGAACACAGAACCTATCTATCCGACCTCATAATCTTCGATCTCAAAACCGCACACTGGACCCAGCCACAAGTGACAGGACCAATTCCCAAAGGTCGCGCAAGACATGCGGCCGTTCTACACCAAGACAAGCTTTTTATCATTGGCGGGATTACGGGTCACGACAACTACGTTCTCGACGACATCTGCTACTTGGACCTGAAGACGTTCACTTGGTCAAGATCCTGGCGTTTTGTGGGCCGGTTCGATCATTCAGCATATATATGGGGTGAAAGGGTATGGGTATTCGGGGGTCTCAGCGAGGAGATGGACAAGGTTAGCGACATCTGGTGGCTAGATCTCAAGGGAAGTCCGGCATTCGATTCACCCCCGCAGATTGGCTCGATGGACCGCTCCGGTATGGCTCGAAGCGCCATTTCGCCAAGGCCCTCCTACCCTGCAGCACAATCCCCGATTGTTGGGTCGTCTGGGTATGCCGCAAACTCGAGGACTGCGCAAGTCAACCCTCCGTCGTTCCATCTCAAGACGTACGCTCCTCCTGCACCCGGTGCTGTTTCGGCTCTCAAGTTTGTCAACGGTCCGAACGTGCCATCGCAGGGACAGGGTATTCATTTCCATGTCTACTCGTCAGGTACCCTTCTGGACTTTGTTACGCCAGCGGCGACAATCTCGTCCAAGGAATGCTCCTTGTCTGCTCTCGATCTGGGGTCTCTCCGATGGCAGAAGTTGGCCGACGGCCGGGAGATATTCAAGCCCGGATATCGCTGGCACTATTGCACCATGAACGAAGACGGCACCAAGGCCTGGCTACTTGGGTGTCCCACGGAGCCGAATGTACTGGATCATGGAGGTACTGGCCTCGAGGAGTACTTGTCCGATATCATGGAAATTGATCTGCGTCGGTACGGGTTCTTGGGAAACAATTTTGCCCCTGAACCACGCGCGGACTTCACACGGCCATCTTCTCGAGCGCGTCATATCGAACAGCCGTCCAAGGGGCTAGGATGTGATCTCGCTAAACTCTTCGACCAGCCTCCCGAGACCGGAAGTGGCACGGATTTCATCGTCACAGCTCTTTCTCGCGAATACGATGAGGACGAGATCATAGGCTCTGCGCTCGTTCACACTTCCGACTCGATGGACGGTGATCAGACTTGGCTGTCGCCGGATGCGCCCACGTCTCCGCCAATTCACGTTCATCGACTGATTCTTCAGGCACGCTGGCCACACTTTGCACGCCTATGGTCGAGCCAAATGGCCGAATTTCACACGAAGAAGATGCATATCCCTGAGCCCTACAGTGTTGTCAAGGCATTCTTATACTATCTATATACGGACCGTATCGACCCGGGATCTGAAGAGGACGAGAGCATCACGGCCGACCTGTCAGACGTGGCCGGCCTTCTCGTCATGTCCAACATCTACAACATTCCACATCTTCGCCTCCTTTGCGTAAATAGATTGGCGAAGGAGCTTGACGTGGATCACGCATGTATCATCTGGTACTGCGCCGGCATGGCGAATGAAGAGTGGCTGCGGAAACGGGCTGCCACCTTCTGTATGACGCACTGGGGCAGGGTTGTACGCACGCTCGGTTTCCAGAGGCTTCCTCGGGCGGCTCTGGTGGAGCTCTCGCAGGAAGTTGATATGGAAGGCCGTGTGGTTGGCGGTGACGAGCTTGATTTGATGGTGGGGATCGATGGTCGTTACCACGACGGAGGGTCTGGCGCGTCACGGCGTAAGGGGAGCATTAGTAGCAACCATACGCAAGTGCTTGAAAGCGAGCTTGATGAAGACGAGGGCATGGAGATGTCATGAACAGCTAGGTTCCGCTTTTTGTCATGGCAGAGGATATCTTTTGACCTCCCCGTTATTCTCCTCATCATTAGATTTGTTCCATACACAAGCACGGACTGGAAAGAGTGGCTAGTTGGACAAGAGGGCGGGCCTTTAGCACGATGGGAATCGGCACTGAAGGGGTCGCAGGCCCGCTAGACGTGTTAGGTCCCTTGTCAGTATTTTGGGTTGAGGTATGACCGATGTGATGGATAGGATAGGTTGGGCAGGGTTGGCTTTTCGTGCGATGAGCTTCTCAGCCATCCTTTAGTAAGGAGGCATTCAGGAAAACCCAAAGGATTGGGGAAAGATGCTTACTATTCCACAGAGGCATTGCAAAGGCGTTGGCGTAATTGATGGGTATTCATTGTTAGCGTGCATGTATGTAAGACTGGTCGTTTCTCCTTTCTGTCCTACGGCTAGTAGTGTCCATATTGGCAATCCGAACTATTATTCGGATATTCATACGCACTGATCTGAGCTTGAGGTTGGCTTGTTGATCAGGTCTTGAAAGAGAACAGCATCGAGCGATTGCAAAACAACCAACCTTAAGTTGCAACCTGCTAGAATCATTGATAAACCGCGCCCCCTTAACTTGGAAGTTGGCGAGCTTATTACGTTGACGTGCAAGCATTTCTCATTTCACCATGTTCAAGAACGATTATACTGCGTACATCCACGTTTTCCTTTATTACAGCTTACATGATGCTGATGTTCGTGAAGTGCAGACTGCAGAGTCGAAAAAGACGAGCACGATACCCAGCACGCAGCTGACCATGCTGGGTCGGTACCTACATACTGTACATAAAGTCTCCATGCAGGCAGTGTTACCCGCTGAAATGTTGCCGAGGTTCACAAGCCGTCCTAAAGCGATAAAAGCAACAGGAGTGGTCGCTCCCGGACTGATGTTCTCCACCTTTCCGCTGCTACGACATCGTCCCCTCCTGTCAATGCTCGATCCCCTCCCCGTAGTGGTCTAGGAAAAGTCGACATTTTTATACCCGAAGGGCCCAAAAAGAAGTCGAGAATACCTCTAAGACTACGATAAACTATCCTCTGATGCCACGCTCGCTGACTCTACTTATTGGCCCTGATCTACTCGCACACACTCTCTCGCGCTCCCCTTCCCTGAACGAATTTACGCGAGGAAGCCGCCAAATCGGGATCCCCAGCTAAGCCCAGCGCCCTCGCCACCGCGGCAACTCTTTGCCAGCCCAGGCGCCCAGCCAGCTCCCAGCAGCAAAGAAAGTAAAGCAGCGGACCTGACGCTTGTCGCATCGCACGCATTCTATCCCATCGCTTAAGACTGACGACTGGACCATCCCTAACTAGGCGGCCACCAGTAAACCCCCCTTGTTTTCGTCTTCTCCCTTTACCGGTCCATCGAAGTCATTCCTCGAGCACTACCACCGGCCATCAACGGCGGAGGATCAGATAATCCACACACAATCGCCATGGCATCCCCTCCGAAACCGTGGGAAAGACAAGGCGCGACGTCTGGTGCATCGGGTATGTTTTTTTTTCCGTTCACCATTCCATGTTCGCCCGACAAGCAGGGCACTGACATTGAATCCGCAATGACACAGCGCCCGCACCAGCAGCCTCTTCGGCCGCGACGCCATCACCAGAGTCAAACACGACAACAACATCAGGCTCAACCCCGGCCATCCCCGCGAGACCTGCCAGTCTGACCGCCTCCGTCAACCAAAATGCCGCCAACTACAGCAGACCAATGGGCGCGATGGGTACATCACCATACGGAGTCGGCGTAGGCTCGTACGGCACAACATACGGCTCTTCATACGGCTCGGCATACTCGTCGCCCTATTCCAGCCCCTATTCCAGGTATGGGGGTATGGGCGGATATGGCAGTTCAATGTACGGCGGTTACGGCGGGTCGATGTACGGCGGTGGCATGTACGGCGGCGGCGGCATGTATGGAGGAGGTATGGGTGGCATGCCGGATCCCAACAACCCGGAAAGTTTGACCAACCGCTTCAACATGAGCACGATGGCCACATTCCAGATGCTGGAAGGCATTGTCGGCGCATTCGGGGGTTTTGCACAAATGCTTGAAAGCACTTATATGGCGACACACTCAAGTTTCTTTGGTAGGTTACATCATCCTACATGCCCACCTCCAGTCAGGCGCAACTGATTTACTAACATTAGCTCAGCCATGGTTGCTGTCGCAGAGCAGTTTGGCAACCTTCGCCAGACACTAGGCTCCATTCTGGGCATCTTCACTATTATGCGCTGGATTAGGACAGTGTTCGCCAAGATCACCGGCAAGCCTCTACCAGCCGATGTCTCCAGCCTCAATCCAGCCTCTTTTGCCATGTTTGATGGACGCGGGAAGGGCGGTGCCGCAGCGGCTGCCGGTGGTGCCGCCGGTGCCATGCCCAAGCCCAGCCGAAAGCCCCTCATCTTCTTCGTTCTCGCTGCCTTCGGTCTGCCCTACGTGATGAGCAGGGTGATCAAGTCGCTGGCCTCCAACGCTGAGGAAGAGGAAAAGAAGCGCCAGCTCGTTGTCGCGCAACAACAAACCATCGACCCGACCAAGCTCGAGTTCTGCCGCGTCCTGTACGACTTCTCGCCCGCCACGCAGGGGAATGGCGAGATCGTCCCGGGCGTAGACCTTGAAGTTCACAAGGGTGATCTGGTTGCCGTTCTCAGCAAGAGCGATCCTCTTGGCCAGCCTAGCGAGTGGTGGAAGTGTCGCGCCCGCGACGGAAGAATTGGCTATCTACCGGCTACCTTCCTCGAGGTACTTAAGAAGCCGGGTCAGCCTGTTGCAGCCATTGCTGGGGCCCCATCCATCAGCATTGACGGCGACACGAGGGCCAACTCGCTGAGCAGCATCCTCAGCGACGCGGATAAGAAAGTGCTGGTTCCGGCCCTCCCGGCGGCCAAGGCTAGCGATATCAGCGTCGAGAGCTTCCAGAAGTCGCAGTTCTTTTCTTAGAGACGCAAGGAACGCAGGCGGAATGATCTCAGCAAAATGCACATCGAGACGTCGCGGTTCATGCCACGCTCTTCTCGGCTTCGACACTCGGTCTCATTCTCTTAATACACGCCTGATTGTGCGAGCTCTGGATCTACCATGTGCAAAGCGCCGGGGGCGGCCTCCTGGGAGTGGCCCACCCAATGGCCAACTAATCGGCTTTCCTCCCCCAAACACAACAATCAGACACAACAGCAAACCAAATCAAAATCGCGGATTCTCCTTAATTCGCATTCGCCCAGCCTGGTGGAAATGACCACACTTTCCTGCCAGGAAAAATCATCAAGCAGCTACGTAGAGGCACACGAGAGCGCGGTGAGATAATCAGTCGGAGCATTTTCGGAAGTTTTCGAACTCGTCGGAAGGGTGTAAGACGTCACCAAACAAGCATGCATACCCACAACGGTCAGTTATGGCATTATCATTATTAAGAGAATGACAAACACTCTCATATCTTTATACACCTGCATGACACGATTATTGCGTGGGAAGACGTCTTTTCACCAAAAGTCAATACCCGAGCGAGCGGAAAGGGAGAAGATATAGACACGGAGGACGGCCATGGTAAATGGATGAATGGATGGATGGAGTAAGCGGAAGCGGCGAACGCTGAAAGACATGGACGCACGAGGTGTAAAATCGAAAGGAGGGATGAAGGGAGGTGATAGGCGATGTGAGGCGGTGACCACACCGATGACACAGGGATGGAAGCGTGGCTAATTAGCCTACACAGACAAAGGGGTGTTTGTCTGCTTGAGTCGGTTGTTCAGTTGTATACCTTGTAGCGAATATTTTGTTTTCGGATATATTCTAACCGTATCGTATGTACGTTTTCTTCGTTACTGTCTCCTTCTCTTTTTTTCTTTCTTTTCTTCTACCTAATTTTGTTTTTTTACGAAGAAAAGGAAAAGATGAAAGAATCGGCAAATACGTGAACATTACTTTTCGTAGAACGGTCTTTAATCAGACATGTATGATACACAGTTTTTAGTAGAGGCATAAGATTAATTGTTAATGATCACTCATTCATCGTGTCTCGCATCTTCAACGATGCGCTTGGTGCCACAACACGTAAAATTGCTATGACTGACGCAACCAAAATCAGTCGAAACTAAGTAATACTCACCAGGATTAGAAACATTTTTGACCACTTCTGCAGGCGCAACTGTCAGCAAATTTTTATTGTACATTGCCTTCCTGTAAATGTACTGGTGTGGCAAATGGAGGTAGCCCGGTAAAATTGTATATCGATCAACACGGTGAAGGTATTCATATATGGATTCTCAACCACGCAACACGTGCGTGCATCTACAATGTAATCACATTTGGATTGTTCGCCTTCCTTTTTCATTTCTTCTAATTTTCTTAAATCTTTTATTTACTGATTGCTTTGGCTTCCACAAGTTATGTGTTTTCATGGTTCATTCGATAGAGGAGTAAGCAGCTCACTTTTTCTTTTTGGTAATCACCGAGCCAGACCTCATGCTGCGGGCGTTTCTAACTCAGACGAGTACACGGTAAGATAAGAAAGATGAAGAACAAGGAAGAAACCCGTTCACAATAGATGGAATAGGCACGGATTTTGATACATGACAACCATCCAAATCGGATAATGAAGCCAGAATGATCTGACTGACTGTGCTAGCTGTGCTAACACAGTTGCCCCTATTCTCAATGTTCGGCTTGCACAAGTAAAGTTTTCTTTACAAGTGAGCAATCGATCACCATGATGTCCAGAGTACTAAACACCTCCTTGCAGAGATGGTCATCCCTTTACAGAGTAAGCTGTATAGACCTACAACCCGCTTCATGTGTGGACATAAGAACCAACCCAGTGTCTATCACAGCAAACCGTTGTGATGATGTCGCCATTCGTGTGTCTTAGGTGTACAACAAGAACTCCAAATCTTTCTCTCAAGACGCTTTTCTTCTTCTTCTTCTTTTTTTTTTTTATAGAAAAAATATTTTTATCTTTCATGTTTTCCAGATCACCAACGTTACTCGTGATTCGGCATGAATCTTCTTTTCCTGAAAGCCTTTCTTTCTTGTACCTCTTTCGTACCCTTTTCCTGATTAAGCGGTGGTGATATCCTTGGTTTAACCTTCGGCCTCAATGTTCTCATACGCGTTGGACTTGTGCTTGGGCTGGAACTTGAAGTTGGGGGGAGCGGGGCCCAGGAACATTTCACTGATTTATTTCAGACACTGTCAGTAAATCCCGGGAAACATAATCTCCAAGCATTGAAGCAGAGAGCAAGAGAAAAGCGAGACACTAACCTGATCTTGATCCAATCCAAATAATTCTTACTAGCCAACAACGTCTCCAGCTCGTTCCGGCCCTTGTACGCCGGCGGCCGATCGTTCATGGCAGGGGGCAAGTACTCGAGCAAGCCAATCGGCACATAACGATGGAAGAAGCTCAAGAACTCCAGCAAGAAGCGACGGGTGTAGTTCAAGCCCAGCTCATCAGATCCCCACGCCTCCATGCCGTACTTTGCAAACTTCTCCACATACGCCAGCCGCTCCGTGGCCGACTTATCCAAGTACTGGCCCGCGCTGATCTCCTCAAAGATCCACGGCTTGATGATAGCGCCGCGGCCGACCATGACCGAGTCCACCTTGGCGTTGTCCACGTGGTTAAAGTAGTCCACGTGCGAGTAGCAGTCGCCGTTGCCGACAAAGTACATGCGTCCGCCGTTGGGCAAGCTGCGCTCGTCGGCCTCTCGGATCGTGTCCTGAAGCGAATCGGCCTTTTCGTTGAACGACTTGACCAGCGCCGCGCATTCGGCGATGTAGCTCCAGTCCGCCGCCTTGGTGTACCGCTGCTGGCGCGTGCGACCGTGCAGCGTGACGGCCGCACAACCGGGGGCACCGGAGACAGCGCGGATGTCTGGGGCACCGAGCGCGAGGCGTTCGACTAATTTTTGGGCCGTCAGGTGGTTGTCGCGGACGCCCATGCGGATCTTGGCAGTCACGGGCACCTCGCCTGAGACGGTGTTCATGCCGCGGATCATGCGCTCGAGCTTGGACGGGGCGTCGAGGAGGGCGGAGCCGGCGCCGGACTTGTAGACCATGTCGATGGGGCAGCCGCAGTTGAGGTCGATGACGCGGAGGTGGGGGAGGTAGCGGGCGAGGGTCTCAGCCGACTTAATGGCGATCCAGGGGGCGTGGGCGGTGATTTGGACGCCAAACTTGAGATCTTTGGAGTTGTCATACGCTGGGTCGACGATGCCGGTCGGGGTGTAGCGCGGAGGAGTGATTTCGCTCTCGTGTGCGCGCATCAAGGTCCAGTCGGCCTTTTGACCTTGAAGAAGAGGGAGGCCCAGGGCCATTTCCGAGTAGGTGATTTCGGCGCCCAGCTCGACGCAGAGACGGCGGAAAGGCAGGTTGCCTTGGGTGGTCAAAGGGGCGAGCACGGGGGTCTCGCGCCCAAAGTAAATCCTTCGCTTCTCTGAGGGCTTAAGGGGGGGCTCGACGTATTGGGCCGCATAGTCCTTGGCCACGTCGTCGTCGTCTTTCTGTTTGTGGTAGTGAATGCGGGCAAGCTCGGAGTCCTTGGCCATCCATTTCAGGTACTGGTCGGACTTTTCGTGCTGAATTTTTTTTCGCGATAGGGCGAGCTTAACAGCCGGGGCGACAACGTTATACATGCCGGCCCTGGCATCCATCGACTCCTCCTCAGGCGGTACTAAAGAGGCAGCCTCGGGCTTTATCTTGGTAGGGTCTTCGGTGAGAACCAACTCCTTCCGGCCATCCTCGTGCTCAACCTCCTTCATGTGACTTTCGACGAAAAGGCAGCGCCAACCGGATGAACACTTGCCATGGGTCTCCCAGACCGGGCATTTGCCTCCAAAGACTTTGAGGTCAGGGCGGCGGCCCTCCTTCAGGTACTTGCGGATGTCGTGAAGAGCGTTGCAGCGTTCACCATGCTTGCAGTGCCGGGGGGAAAACTCGGGCGTCCACGCAACAGAGTTGCACAGGCGCTGAGCATCGGCAAAGATACCGAATTCACGCTCCTTGTTCTGACCCTTTGGCCTCTTCTTCTTTCCGTCCTTTCCGGTAGCTGCCTCAGCACCAGGAGCAGTCCTTCCCTCGGCAGCATCATCATCAACTACCTCGGCAGTTTTGGCGACCTGGCTTGGGGGCACAACGAGATACCTAAGACAAGTAAGCTTGTATGAAAAGAGGAGATGATGAGCAGGGAATAAAGAAGTAGCCACTTACTCTTTCTTGATGGGAGCAATGCCCCTTCGCTTGTCCCTGTCATCTTGCCGTTGTTCCGTTGGCTTCTCATCTTCAGTTTGAGGTTGAGCTTGAGCCTGAGGCTGAGGTTGCGAGGGCTCTTCTTGTACCTGGGGGACGGGGGCATCGTCCAGCTTAACGCGCTTCGTCGCTGGCTCGGCGTCTTGAGCCGCAACAGCACCGTTAGGCTCGATGGGGCGCTTTGCAGTTTCTTGGGACTCCATTGTGAGATTGAGAATGGAAGTGTACACCCAGACCCCAGTTCGACGCAAGTCGTCAGGTTGAGTGCCGGATCGGGTGAGACTTCATAAGTGGATTGCCGGCCGGGACATGAAATTTGCATCTCAGTTGCACCCCCCGGGCCTGTTCTCGGGAAACCGCGACAGGTAGGTACCCACTCGTGCCGCTGCAGCCTGGAATGTTTGCCCTGGGGGGGCCCGCAGCGGGGTTAGCGACCCATTCGGTGCTTTTAGTGTCGAAGATTTGCTCTGCTTTTGGCTCCAATCACAGCTTGCAATCCGGTTGGTTTGGATTCAATCGATACCTCGTGGGACGGAGTTTGGGCAATGGTCGGGCTACTGCTTGCCCGTCGAATCAAGTTTGAACGACCACAGTAAGCTGTTGCAATCTGGGCAGCATGTTGCTAGTCTGATAGGGCTGAATGAAGCTTCCAGATCTGGACAGTTCCAATATTGGAGAGTCCACAAAGTCCCGTTCAGTGTGTAACCCCACAGACCAGGCATCATCTCCAATGCGGCCTATCACCACACCAGTACCGTGCCTGTGCCGAGCGACAATACTGATCAAGATCTCGCCCGGACTCTAGAGGTACATAGGTAGGATCTCTCAATCGGCCGGCACTCCACACTGGACATGGGCCGCTGTGGTCCCAGATGGCTATGTACCAGTGCCGTAGTGTACACTAGTAAATACCAACCATGCATCCAAAGTCCGGGTCTCAGTTAGATAGTCACAAACAAGATCGAGGGTTTACAGCATAGGTAGTACGCACAAGCAAATGAGTGATCTGGTACCAGATATCGCATGGAGGCAACTTTCTTCGGCATGCCTTTGGAATTGGTCCTGAATCAAAAGGGAAACTCCCGTCCCGTCGGCAAGTGGGTAGCTGGGTAGGTATGAATCCGGCAGAGCTGGATAATTTATGCAAGGGGCCGCAGTAGTTTCAGTGTGGAGGGCTGAGGTCTTCTATGGCCGCCCAATTGCGGTATGGTTGAGCCCCGTCTCCAACGGGCAAACGGGCATCACAGTAACAACCCCCGAACCACCTCCTCACTGCCCTGCTTGGCTGTCTCTTGTCAACCAACCTAACATAAACTTCCCGTCTTTTCTCCCCGTCTACCGTTACAACCAAAAGTCCCTTCGCTCCCGGTACCTGATCGCCAGCTACGCCCCGATCTCGCTCGCCTTATCGACGAATTGAGCTTGTGCTGCAGAGCATTGGCCAAACGCTACCGACACGCTAGGTACCGACACGGACATAGGGGACACCGAACACACGACATCGCGGTTTCGTCCGGTCTCCTCATCCGCCGAGAACTCGCTCAATTGTTGCGCCGCGACATGCGCATATAAATCCACGATGGCTGACCAGGCCAGAACAGCAGGAGCAGGAGCAGGGCGGGATAGGCCGCCTCCGCCCATACCGCAGCCGCCATTGAACACCGCTAATGTGCTGCCTTCCCGCAAGATCGCACCCACCAACACTACTCCCACCGAGGGCAGGGGGCCCGCCTTTGATGATGAGGAGCTTCATGCTCGAGCCCCTCCCGTCCCCCGCTCCCAGGCACATACTCCCGGCCAGCTATCGACCCGGACGCAAATCCAAGACCGTCAGCGCAGACCCTCTGAGGTATCCAAGGCCTCAGAACTGTCTATTCGCCAGCGCTCGCTTTCAACCGCTGTAAATGTAGTAGGGAACGCAGCTTCGTCCTTGACTATCTCCCAGCCTATCTTTTCGCACGCCGCCCCTCCGCACAAAGCAGCTACGCCGACGCCCTCTTCGACGAGCTACAGGCAGCCGAGCACTACCCTACCCGACAATCGAGATAGCACACATTCTTCCACGATAACCATAGGCACTGCGGCTACAAGAGAACGCAAGGACTCGTCTGCCGGCAGCGGTAGGGAGGCCTCATCCAGGCGTCCGGCCGGCATGCGGTCCACATCCGCCATCGCGAGTGGCCGTCCTGGTACCTCCTCGGCTGTTGCTCGTGCGAGCGGCACGCGCGGCGCTCGACCCGGTGCCCAAATGATACACCACGCTCCGTTCCCGCCACTGGTAGATCCCCGAACCGCCCCGGACGTGCCCCCGGCGCCATCATCCGGCATGTACTGGAGCAAGGCGCCTATCTCAGGGGCATCACATACGGCGCTGCGCGCGCATACCACAACGCTCATCGGGTCCAACGTCTACGTCTTCGGCGGGTGCGACTCACGGACGTGCTTCAACTCGCTGTATGTGCTGGACGCCGACGCCTTCTACTGGTCAGCTCCCCAGGTGGTGGGCGACATCCCAGTGCCGCTGCGCGCCATGACGTGCACCGCCGTGGGCAAGAAGCTGATTGTCTTTGGCGGTGGCGACGGACCGAGTTACTACAACGACGTCTATGTGCTGGACACGGTCAACTTCCGGTGGTCCAAGCCCCTCATTCTCGGGAAGGACTTCCCCTCAAAACGGCGGGCACACACAGCCTGTCTCTACAAGAACGGCATCTACGTATTCGGCGGAGGCGACGGTGTCCGCGCGCTCAATGACATATGGCGGCTTGACGTGAGCGACATCAACAAAATGTCGTGGAAACTAATATCAGAGGGGTCACCGGGGCCAGACGATCAGTCATCTTCGTCATCAGGAGGGAACGGGGCCGGAAGCGGCGGTGGGAAGGGCTCGGAGGTACGAGTATCAGGAACGACCACTGGCGGCGGCGATATCCGGCCTAAGGCACGCGGCTATCACACCGCCAACATGGTGGGCTCCAAGCTGATCATCTATGGTGGCTCCGACGGCGGTGAGTGCTTCAATGACGTATGGGTCTACGACGTCGACACGCACGTGTGGAAGGCCGTCCAGATCCCCATTACGTATCGTCGGCTGTCGCACACGGCGACCATTGTCGGCTCGTACCTCTTCGTCATTGGCGGCCACGACGGAAACGAGTACTCCAACGAGGTCCTCCTCCTAAACCTTGTGACCATGTCGTGGGACAAGAGGCGGGTCTACGGCCTACCACCCAGTGGTAGGGGATATCACGGCGCGGTACTCTATGATAGTCGCTTGCTGGTCATTGGCGGGTTTGATGGTGCCGAGGTCTTTGGTGACGTGTGGCTTCTCGAGCTGGCTGTCCATGCTTATTATTCGCAGATCAGCCATTTCACGATTGAGGTTTAGACTTGGTGCGTGGCATTAAAGGGGTATTGGAAGGGTGTGGCTTCGTTTGTTAGCGCATTGCAGTTTTACAGTCCATAAGCAAAAGCATTTGAAGGTTAACCAGGTGCTTACAGTACATCCTTCTTCTGCTTCGAACGGGATTCTCTTATGTCAAATTCGGATGCGATTTTAACCTGTGTCAGAAAGGGAGGCAAGGACGTTTGTAGACAGGCCATCAGCAAGGCCATCCGCCATTGATGAAGGCTATTTGATTTCTCATTCCTTTGAGACACCAATTTTGAATGTGCGAATGATATGCCACCACTTACTTAACCTGTTGTATCTCTTCTTTTCTCGAACACGGACAACAATCAAAGCGATCCGCATTTTGCAACTAGCAGGCGGACCGTTAAGTGTAAAGCAACACATTCAGTTTTCCATAGGTACACATTAGAGACAGGCAAGCTGTCGCATTCAATAGGAAATTCCTGATAAAACAGCTGTTATGATGTTCCATGAAAAGAATGGGTTATCCCACACTGTTTGGCTCACTCAACTTTGTCTATCGATATCTAACCATCTACTGTAGAACACTGCCACTTCCGCTCTGCCGCTGAAGACGGGTTAAGTCTAGTAGTTACCCGAAAAAGAGACAACCCTTCTTTTTCTAGAAGCGTGGAACACGACCGACACCGATAATGATGTGAGATAGACCAGATAGGTAGCAGAAGTAAAAGAAAGAGCAGACTACCGTACTCCCACTTAGACTTCCCAATTGAGAATTTGAGACCGAAGATTCAGAGATGATTCTACTTGGTAGCGTTACGCTCCATCGACTTGGCTCTTCCCCAACAAGGTAAAGCAAGCAAGCGACCTTCCTGGACACAGGGGGGTATCATGATCCATCCCATCCCGCTCGCATCCTTTAGCACCTAAAATAGGTCTTTCCCAGTAATGGTATCTCTAATGAATAAATCAAAGCGGATAACGGGTAAGACGCTAACGCTACCTGAGAACCACCGGTGTATGAAATCCTACCTCTATAATGGTCTTTCTCTCGATCCTTCACCCGTCTTCTCTTCGTCTCTCCTGGGTATAAGGGGGTATATGCCGGCAAAACCCCCCTCTTCTTTGAGAGATTCTTCGCCTTCTTCAACTTGCTACATTTTCCCTCCAGATCCGAGACCAAGAATACAGACATTCGCTGCCATTCCCCTCTAGCTTTTAAAACTTTTCTCATTTTCCCAGACATCCCTTTTTTCCCACACGTACTTCCCTTCATCAAAGCCATACAAAGCCTATAGAAAAACACTTGACTCTTTTTTTCTGTACACTCCTCTCCTCTCATGTACCGTGACAAATATTGGAAACAAACAAGAAAAAAAGAAAAGGAAATAGAGAAAGAAAAAAAAAACGCCACGCAAAATGCTGCTACTGAAAGGTGTAGTGTAAACCCGAGATGGAACTTTTCTGACCCTCCAAAACACAACAGTGAAGTCAAACATGAAAACCGGAGATGAGAGGCGTTTTTGTTAACCGATGCGTGACTTGTATGGCGGCCGCAACAGTAGACAACAGTAGACGGCAGTTTATCGGGAATCGGACACAGGGCTCCGCCATCAGACCTTTCCAAGGATTGGATCGGATGCCGTGTGGCCCCACAACGTCAAGCCGAGGACGCTGGGTATATTAAACTTCACGTGGACTGCGACCCGGGACAACGCAAGGTCGTTTGTCGATCTTGGCCATGTCCAACTGCTTATCAAATGCGCTTTCGTCCTACAACATGACGTCTTCGTTGATGTTGGGCAGGTTTTGCTGGAAAGCGATGAGCGCAGCTGGGTTGGACATCATGGTCGAGATCAAATTCTGGTGCTGGGCTCTCATTTCAGGGTCGCACATGGGGGAATGTTGCTTGTGCTATCATTGAAACTGTGTAAGCATCACTGTGTATGTGACAATGACCTGAAGGTAGATATCGACTTACGTATTTAAGACCATTCAAGTTCTTGTAGCGCTTTCCGCAAACGTCGCATTTGAAGGGCTTCTCCTTCTCCATACCCAGGGTACCAGGGTAAGGCGTGCTCGTTTCCGGATTGACGATCGAGAAGGTGCCGTCGCCGTTCTCATGCAATTGCTGGGTCGAATGTCCATGGGTCTTGTGGTACCTGGTTCGATTGTTAGTGGGACTTGGGGAAGGAATGCAGTTGGGAAAAGCGAAAGTATGGGGTTGATTGGCGTTGGTGGCCGACCAAAGAAAATTTCTGCAAAGGGCAACAAATTGCACTTCAAAGAAGAAACACGTCGGGGTGAAAACTTACTTCAGACCATTCTGGTTCTTGTATGCCTTCTCGCATCCAATGACGGGACAGCGGAAAGGCTTGTGTTCTTCTGTCGGCGGCATCATGAGCGCAGTCATCTGCTGCAGAAGCAGAGCAGGGTCTGTACCAGGAGCAAGCTGATTCAGATCGAGATTCATCGACGCCAGATGCTGCTGCAACTGCTGCTGCATCTGCATTTGGGCATCGAACGCTCGTTGCTGGCTCGTCATCTGGGTCGTACCACCAGGGCTATACAGCCTCTTTGCAGGATCATCAATCGTTCCCAAAGCTCCGAAAGCCAAGTTTCCCGCCAGTCCTCCAAGCTGACCGCCGTTTAGATTCACACCGCCGATGTTCATCTTCATAGGCATTCCGGACATGTCATCACCATTGTCATCTTCCTGACCAAACTGTCCCCGCTGAGGTAGGCCTCCTTGTGTTGTCAGGGTTGGCGTGTTGACTGACGAAACGGTCGGGTTGTTCTGGAAACCAAAGCTGACAGCAGCAGGAGTTGGGGGTTGAGAAGTGCGCAAAGCCTGGTGCGGAAGCCCAGAGCTGTTCAGGTGTAGTTGAGGACGCTGCTGCTGCCCAAACAATTGCCGAGTCTGCTGGATTGTCCGCTGATTATCGTCCATCTCCATAGGTCCCACGGTCTCGTCAAGCTCCATCTCTCCGACAGTATCCATATCATCGTTCATATGTGACATGGAGGTCATTTTGGACACAGCTGGAGCTACTTGTTGCTGCCGCATCATCTGTCCGATACCGCCAAGGCCCATTCCTGCGCCGGCAACACTCAAATGACGCTGACCTTGATATCCATTCATCGCCTGGGCTCCTGGCTGAGCTCTACTCGCTACAGGAGTTGGAGTGGCACGACTGGCGGTCCCGCGTGCGTTCCCTTGGTTGGTGCCAAAGGTATTAAGATTCTGGTTGGAGGTGTTCGGTGCTGCGGTGGCATGGTGATTCTCCTCGTAATGTTGAAGGAGATCATGGAGAGTCGGCCACGTCCTGTCGCAGCAGGTGAAATCGCGCATGAAGTTGGCCTCGAGTTTGGGGATATACGACGAAGAATGGAACGAGGGAGACTGGTGCGTTAAATACGGTGAAGTGCCTGTCATCATCATACTAACGACATCGAAACAGGTCAGCTTCGGTGTTAACAACCGACGGACAGTCCTCGGCGGCGATCCAGTTCCAGGATACCCAAGAACTCTGCTCCCGACTAACGCCAAGGACACAAACAAGCACACCCAAGTGCAGGGAACAGCGACAACAACTTACTCTTCGCGAATAAAGCTTCCAACAGAAATGCCGCCCCAGCTCATACCGTTACCCATGAGACTCCCCGCCATAAGGCTGCCTGCTCTAAGACTGCCAGCCATACTTTCGCGACGGATGCGGTTGACGTGGTCGCGATTAGGGTTTGCCATGGAGATGGGTTTTGCGCCAGTGCCTAGGAAGGATTCCTGTCGACTGCGGCTCAAGGCCGAGTCGAAATGTTGACCGGCGGTCATGTCGACGTCAGGGTCGAAACCAAGGTCGGCGAGGCAAGGGCCTTGGTCCCAGTTGATGTCAAGATCGTCAAGATCGTGGGTTGGGAAAGTGATGGGATTGCGGTCAGCCGGTGAGATGAATGCAGTGGACCGACGATGGGAGACCGCAATGTCAATGGGTTTCGAGGCAGTGAGTGGCGAAAGATCGGATCGAGGAAAGACGGAGTCGCGGGGGGTTAGCGGTTGGGGTGTCGGGGACGGCGACGGCGAGGATGGGTGAAGAAGGGAAGAGGGTGAATCGGTGGTTGAGTCGGAAGGCGATGGGTTCCTGAACGCTGCGGAAACAGAGGAAGGCGATGCGCGATAACTATTATTTCCACCGGCCCCAACGGAGGGCCCCGCAGGCTCGGGACTGTTACTGGGGCTGGAGGTGGTTTTGGAACTAAACCACTTCAGGGAGCGCTTCATGGCTGGAGGCACTAGCAGCGACAGAATGTGGATAACAGTGCTGGGCCTCGGATGTCGAGGAGGGTGGTGGGCGGTAGGGATGGCGTCGTACAGTGAGTGTACTGGGTGCGCTAGGCCGCAACCTGGTTACGGCGTAATAGCAGGGGTGCGGAAGCCGTGCTTGGTACCGTGTGTTTGTTATTAATGAAAGAAGGATGGCAAAGTGATGCTGCCAATCAATGAAGGAAAAGTCGACACTCGCATACGAGGGGGAGTTGTCCCGAGAAACAAACAAAAACCAGAAGAGAGAACCGGGTTGAAGTGGTGGTGGGAAAAGGTATTAGAGAAGCCGGAAGGTGGTCGAGCGAATGGTGATTCTTCACCCATGGACGGTGAAGGGATCTTGGGGCTCTTTTTCCAACGTTGAACCTGACCCTTGACCAGGACGGACCTCGAAGGTCGGGTGCAGTGGTGTGGTGGGATCTGACAAGCGAGGTCGCCCCGCCCGTTGCAGCGGTCGCCGTTCCGCTTGGAAGGCTAACACGGTAACACAACTGACTTTCCAGGGGTGCGGTGCCCTGTGGGTAGGCAGCCTGGGGGGCGGAGGATGTGCGTGATGCTACACTACACAACACCTCTACCAAGTGGCTCGTCGAGGATGCGCCAAAGTTTCCAACTCCCTCTTTGCTGGTTCGTTGTGACCGTGTCGTACGTCTCGGTCAATGGCGTTGACCAGTTGTGAACAAATCAGGCCGACTTGCGTCGCGGAGTTCCTGCACTCCTACACCACCGAGTTGGGGAATCGACGCTGAGCGGAATGCGGTGGTGGATTCGCGGTCCGAAATAGTTCGAGTGATATGACCGTCGCTCTCGGGGATGGAAACAAAGCCCCCAGTTTTTTTCTCGTTTTTCTTTTTACTATTTAGTTGAATAGTTAGTATACCGGTAGGCAGAGGACGATTGGGTTTCGCATGAGGGTAGAGCGTATTTCGTTGAGTCCGTATTGGGTATCGATTTCAAGAAATGGAAGGTACTGGGGCGACGGAACAATGACTCTGATGCGCATCACAAGTCGGCCGCCGCACTCTTCACCTCGGGCAGCTTCCCCGAGGTTTAACACGATAGGACAACCTACAGAAGTAGCACGACACAGAAATCTTTGCTACAACGTATTATCCGAGAGCCCAACTCCCGACACAAAAAAGAAAGAAAAAGAATAAAACTATAGTCAACAAGAATAGTTGTACATCGGTAAGTACCGTAGTAGTTTTCGTCTGACGAGTGCCGTAGTAGTAGATGTGGCCGAAAGCAGGCAGAGAGGAGGGGAGAGGGGTCGCACAGCTAAACAGCTTGTTGTTATAAGAGCACGTACCGTCGCTTTTATGTAAGCCCCGTGTAGCGGATGCCGTGCTGGTGTTTTTGATATAAAGTCAATTGGTTTCCAGTAGCGGTTGTAAAGGTCGTCGTATATCGAGGTTAAGATACGCACAGATATCCTGCAAGGTATGGGGAAGAAGCAGCCATCAAATAAGTGCGTTCCAGTCCGAATATGATCCGATGGCATAACCTGAGTCCTTCACGACACCTTCCAACCACAAACAACAAGCGGGTAGCAGGAAGGGGAAGGTATCTGATCGCTCCTGCCCCGAAACCACCTCTCCTTCTCCCCGAACCTAACACGGCATATGATGTGCCTCATATTTGCCTGTCTCCTTAGGTTGTCCACCTCATGACGGCAAGGCGGGTGCGCGCAAGGCAAGCAAACGAGATGCGGTACCTGCTCTGGTTGCCACCATGTCTGGGGCTTACAACATCAAGACGTAAGGTTACCTACTTCTTCCGGTACATAGTCTCGACAGTCTCTTCGGTACAAGCAAGTATACGTATACGAATCGAGGATCCAATTGTCCTCGAAGCCCGCTTTTCTTGATGTCTGGGGGTGCCGGCCATTACGCTCCATAGTAGCGCACCGAATCAGCGTGCTTTCACATGGATAGTAGGGATTCCAGATTGAGACACAGCAACCTGTGGATCGGGGTCCACAGTAGGACCTTACACTATGAAAACCGCTGCACAGTCTGCTGCACCAGATGCCTCTACTGTATACTACATACTTCCATTGCCGACGTATACACTAGTGTTTAATAATGGCGCTTTAGAGAGTTGGTCAGTATTCTATAATCTAATGTTGAGCGCCCGTCTGTTTCAGTTGCTTTCCTATTCTATTGTAACTACCTATCTAACTATCTCAATCCGATTCCGTACTAATTATCCCAGCGCCGAGCAAACCTCTCTGCAAACCGGAAGCAAATGGTGGCGGACAATCAAAAAGTGGCCCAGCTATGCACAAGTGCTGCCATAACGTCCAGCATTCACCATATGTACGTGCCAAAACGTGCGCAGTCCCAATTGTCAAGATCCGTCCGACTCTAACGCCTCTTTCTATCCCGGGAGTCAGTTGTCGATTGGTACCCATTTCTGACGAGGATAGTGAGCCTCGAAGACAGCTCCAATTATCCACCAAGGAAGGTAACAAGGACGAGACTAGACCAGGCTTCGTATTGACGGCTTGAGGCTCTCCACACATTCAAGGTTATATATCTCTACCTAGCTGTCGAGGCTACGAGACCATCCCCAGGCACCCGCGGCTGCTGCCATCAGTACTTCTAGCATAGCTGACAACTTGCCCGACTTCCAGACACGCCAGCTACCGCGTACCTGTGTCAGCCCAGGGCTGGAATACCCTTTCCTGTCTAGAGCTACGTGGAGGCACCCTTTGTTGATTCCCCTGAATGTCCCGTTTCAAACGGGGTGTATCGCTGCCAAATGGAATATGATGTGCAGATAACAGGTTCCCTTGAAACGCTTCTTCCATTCGACACCCCCGCTTCACCAATGGACATCGTCGTCCGACCAAGCAATATCCCCCAGGCCGTCCCTCCAATGCAAAAACCTAGAGAACGGTGTTGAACCTCGTGCTCCTCCTGGGGACGAAATTCTAGAAACTGGCGACCGGTCAACAATGGATACCTCTCAACCTGAAGAACTACAAGCATGGCCTGCCATAATTTCCAATCTGTATAGCCGGCTTATGGAGCGGCAAATATGGTCGACAACCTTTTGGTTAAGTCTGCGGCTCATCTCTTACACTTGCCATATTAGATTTCCTGCGTAGCTCGGTCTACGAACGGCCTAGGCCATCCGGTCCCGACTCGCCTACCTTACTTGACACGTTGTCTCAGTTCCCGAAGCACAGAAGAAACACACGCTCGTCTGTCTCTGCAACTGAACCAGACAGCACGGTGGAGTTCATGATGCTCTAGACCATGGGCGAGTTATTCGCCCCATTTGTGTTAATGTGGGCTTTCCAACATTTCCGCTATGCCTCGCCCTCCAGGTCCTTGTCAGTGGGTCCCAGCGTAACATTCATCCGGTGTGTTGCTTGGCTGTTCTAGGGCCAGTTCTGTGAGAGGGTATCATCAAGTGGAATGTGTATGCAAATGGCATTCCCATTCTGAGCAGACTGGAAGGGGTTTATGGATTGCCGAGGAAACCAGTATCTTCGGTCAAACGCTCCGGTCAACTCCTCCAAGAGATCTTGATGTTCAAGGGGATGATGATTTCCTGGTGAACTGGTGCCTTGCACCCTCCTTGTCACTTTGGACTAGCCTCAGAATGTGCAGAGGAGGTACGATCCATCACCACCTCCATGAAGTGATTTCATGTCGCGGATGGATAAGCAATGGTTAGCAGGCCTGGCTGGGTGAACAGAGCAGGACGGTACGTCAAGTCGCCGACCACTTCCGATGAAGTCCAGGATCTCATCAACAGTTTAGGGTTAAACAGGTAACCCGGCCCGAGCGAGATCTCCAGGAGGTAGATCGGGCTAGGTTCTGCTCAAGGTTTAATATCGCCATTCTGCCTACTATGTACAGCACCCTTCTCTAGATATCGTCATTTCTTATTCCTCGCTCTACTGCCAGTCTACTGTGTACGGCCTCGGAAACGTTGATCATGTCACTTCCCTTGTCAGGATGTTCGACTTACCCAGCAGCCATGGTCCAACCAGAAAACGCAGACAATGCCGATATGCACGACACTGACCCCACGCTGCAGTTCTCAACCAACTATACATCTTACTAAGAGTTAGCGATCAAGTTCGTCACTCATTCTGGCAGAAGACATATCACAAATGCACATGTCATACATTTATGGTGTCGACATTTGCTTATCAGTACGTTTTGTCTTAGCCCTTATTCACTGCTTCTTCACCCCACTCATACTGCAATGGCACCAAAGAGAACTATCCAGAGCCTCTCCAGTAAGAGTCCGGAAGATCTGAACAGTTAGTTGCCTTCTCGAAAAGGTTGGCAGACCCCCTAAACCGAAGACGACTCAGACAAGACGGACCACGCCCAAAGCAGGCATAACATAGCTTTTTAGATCTTTCTAGGGCATCTCCTTTCCCAGTCCGGTCGCAAGGCCTTTGTGGGAGGAGCCGGCTGGTCACGGTCAACGAAGGTCTTCGGTCGGTTTGTGATCCGAGGACACAAGAGCTGGAAAACGGACCGCAAAAGAATATGAACCCACTGGCCTGAAGTGAGAGGCTGCCCCATCCAGAATGCCCGAGTATGGAAACCTCAAGATTCACACTGTGTGCGGCGATCGCTTCGAGCGGCCGAGAAGCAGACACTGTTTGAGATGCATGGCGACATCGAACGGTGCTTTTTGCCTGCCGAGACATGACATTGCAACATCGACACATGGTTCTCGTGTCTTTCCATCAGGCGCAACCACTTAACATATCTTGTTTTCTCTCATCAAGATAACGAATTCGACAGCGAAGCAAAGCAAGTGCCAATTCCCTCTCCAGAACCAACCCACCTAAGATTGTTGTAAGGTAAATACCAATATCGTGGACGTGGTGGGGACCTTCCAATCATCCCATGGATGGCGTTGTTTGTTGCATGAGATCATTCCCGGTACGATAGGCGAGAGGCTCGAGGGGTATAGTATGAGACTACGAGGTGTACCTATGTACATACGGCAATTGTCATGGCCTGAGCGTCAACCTTTCCTGTGCCCCTCTTCAACATCTTCTAGAACACTTCGAGGTTCCATCCGTGTGAAATCCAGATCGGAAGATGGAGATGTGTACCCAGGTGGGTGTTCACCCCTCTTGTCAACTCACTCGCATCTGGAACAAGCCCACTCGACAAGCTCCCGAAACTCGACTCAGGCCGCTACGTCGCATCTCTCTGTTTCCAATGTGACCATCTTCTTCTGCGGGTCCATCGGATACGGTTCGCGCTCCCTGATGGTGTCGTCCCACACATTTGACGCCCCAAATTCAGAACAACCCAAGACGGGAACAGTACGCTCTCACGACGAGAATACATACTCAACATTCGGCGCCGTGATGAGGCACATACTTGGCGTAATACCGTGAGCACACCACCAACGATCGATTACCTCTATAAGTACTTGTGATATCTATTTTCTGTTGAGAATTCCAACGTCTTGACACAGAACGAGAGGAAGCACAAAATGGACTCCAGGCACACCCTTTACAGACAAACACGTGCATGAACTTCAACCTGACTTTGGCTCGTGTTGCTACAGGCATTTTGCATGTGCAGACTTTGCTGCCAATCCTATAACATGGCACACATGGTACCTACGCCTCCAGCGTTTTCTTCACAAGGATGAAGGGCGCACGCACACGCCTCATTGAAACTGCATTCGTCCTCCAGGCTCTACACTACTACAATATAGTAGACTCAAGCATGCCGCAGAAACCCCTCACAAGCACCTTATCCTTTCGCAATGAGCCAGCAGCTACAGCAGTACAAGGGGCTTTCACCGAACGGGCCACCGCTGCTACAATGTAAACACTGTTCCCAGTTCGCTGCGCCCTCGAACACAGTTGGGGATTCGCTCCACTGCTTCTCGTCTGTTCTGGTCGTGGTCAAAACACCTACGGTCATGGAGGATAGGGGAAGGGGTTCGAAGCCTGATGGCGAGCGACCATGCGAATGGGATATGGGAGAGGGGAAGGAGCCAAAGACAAATAAAGGGAGGTGAGTAGTGACCGCGGTAAGGGAGGAAAATATCCAGACTTCTTCCTCGCGGTTGTTACATTGTCGCCTTTACATTACAGACTACACCGGGACAGAGCCTTGAGCCCTATCTTGAGCCTACATTCTGAGGGTTGTCGTGTTGAGGTTACTAGCTGTTTTCTGGCGGCTTTTGCAACACTGCAGTTCTTGTGCTGATAAGATAAGTGTTCAGTGACCATGTGGATAATACTGTCTCTGGTCTTCTTAATTTCTACAAGGAGTGGAAAAGCAGGAGACTCTCCAAGGAAGGCAGCAGCAACGATATATCCAAGTGCATGATGCAAAAACTCGTCAACCTTGACCGTTCCTACAGTAGATATTGATCGAGTATATGTGCAGGAGCACGTACCTTACTTGTTGTATACATATCGCCATCCGAACTTTGGAATGGTGTATGGGTCTTGAACATGATCATGATACGGCACGGTTACACCACACGAACCGTGAAACCCATGGCTTCAAACACACACACACACACACACACACACACACACACGCAACCCACGCAATCTACGCCGAATGAGTCTCCAGGTAGAACCACTGACTCATTCGACGAAGGATGGGAAGCGAGCAGGTGTATATATTTCCAGCACATCATCAACGCGGAAAGTCAAGCTGTACAAATGTGCCCTGGCCGACTGCCGGTCATGGCCGATACCCGAAGTTCAAAGGCCCCGGTCGCCGGCAAAACGGTTTACAATACCGCCAGTACATGGTGCGCGCGTTCTGTACCATACGGCGTTGTCTATGAAATTTGGCGACGAGGATCCGCTCCGGCTGGACGGGGGAGCCGACAATCAGTCAAATCGCCGAAGACATCTTGCGGGCCGAGAACACTTGTTCGCCGTCCGAAATTTGCGAGGTGGATTATAGCTTGTCGGCCCAGTCATCCAGCTCCCGTGTCAGGATCATCCCGTTCAGCAAAACGGCGACATTTGTAACTACAAGACAACGGGAATGTGTGTATGAAAAAGTGTTTGCGTAGGACCATGTCTAGGAGTTTCTTCTGGCTTATCTGGGTTGTATGACGGTAACGAAGATGCGGCATATGTGGTTCTATCAACGAAATGGACAAAAGGAGAAACGGATGACCATAGCGAAGTTCGGCATTGGCAAAGTGTTCGTGATGGTAGCACTCGGCTTTATCCCGGGGACTGTGTGTCTGTAACGGGCGGGGATACCCGTACTATGTACACATACATACATCTGGCAGCGGCCTGTCAAAGTCTTTACAAGCTGCCATGGATCTGCAGCGCTTGGCACTCAAACGAAGTTTTCAGGGTCCTCTTTGGCTGATGGTGCGGATTGTGCGGCGGTGCCCGGCTGCCCGTTGTCACATTGTCCGTCGTCCTCTTCGGAAGTCGGGGGTTTCCCATTGTTGCGTAGGGCAGCGGCGGCTAGTGTACGCAGCGGCTTTTTTCGTACCACGTACCGTTCGGTATTTCCATTACATCATTAGTCTGCTCCGTTCGCTGCGCGCTCACTCTAGCAAGCGCCGGGTCGCGCTCATCCGCTATGGCGTGAGGTTGAGAGCATTCGGTAGCGAAATCTTCCGAGAGGGAAAAAATCGGAAGATGGAGAGAGAGTTCCCTAGTAAACACTGAAAGGAGCATCTCTGTGCAAAAAGCATAAGTCACCTCATCGGAGCATCTATAATAAATGGTCATAATTAGGTGCGGTATATAAGCGTCATCAATATTCTCAGTGTTGCCCATCAACTGCGGCTTTTCAGTTTGTCTACCAACCTTCTCCGATTCCCGTTGTCAGCATTGTTGGTCGTGCGTCATTCGCTCCAAAGTCAAAGCGGCCCCACATTATCTTACACCTGCCGCACGTATCCGCTTCCGTGCACGCCTAATCGACATCATCCCATCCGAATCTCCCTGCGAGTTTTGTTCCTACGTTAGCTTATTCACGCCACCGTCCCCAATCTTTTGTCTCGAAACTCAGTTTCAGACGAACAACCACGACGTCGCTCCTCTAACAGCAACGACACACTTGCCTCCCCACGCCATTTATAACCCCCATACTTCCATCTTCCTCATCCCCAACGACGACGAAGACGACAACACCACCACCAAAGGTAACCCGACACCAACAGCAACCATGAAGGTCATCAGCAAGGAAGAGGAGGCGGCCCACTACCGCGAGGTAGTCAAGGGCGGTTTGATCGGTGGTACCGGCGGTCTCATCCTCGGTCTCGGCGGTGTCATGTTGGGCATGAAGCGCTATCAGTTTGTCCGCCAGCTCTCGCTCCCCTTCCGCGCCTTCCTTGTTACCTCGGCGGGCACCTTCGGTGCCATCATCCTGGCCGAGCAATACAGCGTCACCTTCCAGCGCGCCAAGGACCCAATGCTGAACTATATCGAGGCCGGCAAGAAGAAGCACGAGCAGGAGCGCCTGGCCAACGTGACTTCGGCCCAGCGCTTCATGGAATGGGGCCGCGAGAACCGCTACAGCATTGTTTTTGCGTCCTGGATTGCCGCCATGGGCGCCGCAATGGCCATTGTCAACCGTAACAAGTATCTTAGCGCCAGTCAGAAGCTCGTCCAGGCCCGTGTTTACGCCCAGGGCCTGACGCTCGCCGTCCTCATCGCCACGGCCGCCTTCGAGACTGCCGATGCCAAGAGCGGCAAGGGCAGGTGGGAGACCGTCATGGTCGTTGATCCCAACGATCCTAACCATGAGCACTTGATCGAGAAGAAGGTCAAGAAGGAGGACTATGAGGGTCAGAACCTCTGGCAGGGTATGTCTCTTTTTGCTTTTTTTTTCTTTTTTTTTTTCTTTTTGTTCTTTTTTTTACTGGCCCCGTGTGCTTGTTTCAAGCTCGTATAGAGCCGTTAACTAACTTGTATTTCAGATATGGTCGCTGCCGAAGAGAAGAGACTCGCTCACAAGAAGGCCCTGGAGAAGCAGCAGCAGGAGGAGGCTAACAAGGCTTCCGCCTCCGCTTAAGCGCGCTGCGTCAACAGTCAGTTTGTCATGACAAAGAGAGTGCTAGTTCCCTCTCTATATCTCATGCGAGATCTAACTTGTCCACCTTCTTCTCTTCATACCCGCCATAGCGCACATGGTACGGTGGGGGAGCGAAGGTGAAGACAAAATCAAAATTGGATACCCAGAAATCAAGCGAAGGAGGGAAAAATAGGAAGCCGTGTGGGTGTTGGCAAACGTCGTTTGTTATCACCACGGCTATTGGAACTCACTGGCGCGCACCACCTGGCCACCTAACCTAACATACCTTACCTTTCTACTACTACACACATCAACATCTCTACTCTACCCACCCAAATCTTGCATTAGCACCGGTGTTTTGCTTTTTGACGGAAATACAAAAAGAGGGAACTTCGGGACTTTCTTTGAAGCAACATTGGGCGGCTTGTATTGTTTGATTTCTGTTTCGATCATGATATGAAATCAGAACATTCACAGACAACAATTGTTGCACAGCATGGCGTTTTTAGCTAAACTGAGTTATCTATTATACGGGGGTCTTCTCTTCGTCGTCGTCGTCGTCGTCGTCGTCGTCTTAAAAGCAGAATGGGCACAGGGCATGCGTGTATTTGTCGTATAGTATCGTCGTCTTTGCTGGACAATGTGCAACGATACGGATATAGATTGGCCTTTAAGAAATTATCTCTATATGCTTTCCAATTTGGTGACTTCCAGGCAAACTAGACTTCCCCATGGTTCGTGTTCATCATGACTCCTCACTTCACTCCCATCCCCCTCCTTCCAGAGGACGCGGAGGAAGTTCGTCAACAAAACCCCAGTCAACGATGTCCAAAAATTAGGTGACGCAAAACCACTCAATAGTTCCTTGTCCTTCACAAAGTCTGAGCAGTATTGGTCTCCACGTTCCAGTGCAGTCATCTTCCAGCCATACCTCCACCTTCCTCCGAGCATCTCTAACAACCATCACCTCCTCGCCGGCCTCATGAGCTGGGTGCTATGGGCATCAACATCAGTAATCCTTGGAACCGACCTGACTGCGTTCAATCATCCTCTATTTTATTACTTTCATGCCTCTTCGATCCGGCCTTTTATTTTCCACCAGTTTGCTGGGATCGAGTAAACGAGCAAATTCCTCACTAAGCTCTCCTCGCAGCAATCCACCTTCAACTCCCTAGAAATTATGGCCGTTAATTTGCTTAGGGTTTATAACTATCTCAACATCCTTTTTTTTTCTTCTTCTTCTTTTTTTTTTTTATTTTTTTTTTGGAAGTGCCTAGATCTTAATAGCTGCCTTTCTTTCACAGCCCATGGACAACCCGCAGCGATGAATGAACCACGTACCCATAGCCATTTGGTCAGCCAAAGTTGTGTCATGATCGAGAACAGCGCAACGAGTCACCGAAGAGGGATTGCATGTTGCTGCGTCATTTCCTCCAATTGTTCACTCATTTTGGTACAGGACACGTTTGGTGGTTGTCGGACTCGACTCGATATGTGACTCTCCAATGCGAACTGGTGATGTTGTCTTTTCAGACTTTCGCAGATCTTCTTTTGACAACTACAACCACACCTCCAACAACAACCGACACGTGCATAAAACAGTCAAGAATGGATGTACTGTTCTTCAACAGTGAGGCCACCGTGTTCGTTCGTTGGTATTAGGTATTAGTTATAATGCAACTTCCCTTTCTTTCACTTGAGTCTTTCTCGGGACACTCCTCCCATAAGTCCCATCGAGCTCTATTCTATCCTACCTCCAAGAACACTCTTTTTCATGATTGATCAATCACGTCCTTATATGCCGTAGACCCAGTTTCAAAATTATAACAACTAAAACCAAAGAACGCCCATCTAAGCATCCACACCCTTCCTCATCACCACATCAGTCTCTTACAACTGGCAACCCTCCCTCCTCTCCCAGTAAATCTTTGCCGGCTCAAGGGGCCTCGAGAAAAGCGAAGCGTAGTCGGTACCAATAACCTTATCGCTACCATCCACGTTCCTGAACTTGAAGTTACGAACAATAATAGCAAGAATAGTCTGCAGCTGCACATTGGCGAACTGCTCGCCAATGCAGCGGTGACGACCGGCGCCGAAGGGCAGATAAGGGGAGTTGGCGCCCTTGCTGACGAGACCGTAGCCATAATCGATCTTCTCATCGTCCTCCTCGCTAGCGACATTGCGGACAATTGTGGGGGCGAGGGGCGAGTCCTTCTCCCAGCGGTGGGGCTCCCAAAGGTCGGGCTGGGGGAAGTAGGCCTCGTCCGTGGCGGAGACACCAGGGGCGGCGAGGAGGACGTGGTCGGTCGGAATAACGTACTTGGTACCGGGGACGGGCATGGGCGTCTTGACGGCGCGCATGATGGAATGAATAGGGGCGTGGAGGCGGAGGGTTTCCTTGACAATGGCGGCGTGCAGGGGCAGCTTGGCGAGGTCCTCGTAGGTGAGTGGGGGCAGGTCGGCGCCAAGGTTCTTGACTTGTTCGTTGTAGAGATCCTCCATGATGTCGGGGCGAGAGGCGAGGCGGAGCATGATCCACGAGCTGGTGGAGGACGAAGAATGCTGGCCGGCCATGAGGAGGGCGATCATCATGTGGGCGATCTCGTGGTCGGGAACGGGGACATCGCCCTTGTAGGTCGAGTTCATCAGGTGCCACATAATGTCCTGGGCGCCAGTCTCGCCGCGTGCGCGACGCTCCTTGATGGTGTCCATGTAGATCTTAGCGACGGTACGCTGGGCATAGTCGCGGCGGTTGTTCCAGGGAAGAGGGGCCCAGTGAAGCATGAAGTTGATGGGAGAGAAACCCATGTCGAGGTCGTGGTATAGGTCGGCAAGCGTCTCGTCGAACTTGTCGCGAATCTCCTTGCCCTGAAGAGCGTGCGAGGCGGTAAAGATGGTGATCTGCGCCATCTTGGGGGGAATATCGACGATGCCGGATTTGCCCTTGAAGTCGGCGGTTCTCTTGAGGTAGCTGGTAACCTCATCGGAAATGATGGGGACATATTGGCGGAAAGCTTCGGTGGTGAGCGCAATTTTCATGAACTTGTGGGAACCGTATGTTAGCACACTGTTTATCACTTCCATATTTTGTTGCCTCTGCTAACCTTCTTCTGCTCCATAAGCTTGGAGTTGGGGCAATCGTAGACGACGTCCTTGCCGAAAACAGGGGTAGTAAGGACGGTGTAAATTTCTTCGGCGTTGACATCGCGAATCTTGCCGTTCAAGATAAAATCATTGCCCTTGGGGCCGACGTAGACAGTAGTCTTCTTTCCGAGGAGGATGAAGGTGAAGCAATCGCCGTACTGTTCGAGCGCCGAGATGGTTAGCAAGCCAAGTTCGCACGTAGCCCTACAGGAGGCGGTTGAAGTATTTACCTTTTCCCTGTTCTCCTTAAAGAAACGCGGCGGGTCCATACCATACGTAATGGTGCTGCCAATGAGAGGAAACCAGTGGAAGACAAGAGGCGGCTCATTGGGCTTCTTGAAGAGGAACTGCTGGAGAACGTTGAGGACGACGGCGACAAACAAAAAGGAGGCGATCGCGACACCGATTTGCGACACCGTCCCCAGCTGGGAAAACTGCTGGGACAGCGGTCCCGCAACGACTTGCAGGATGCCCATGGTTGGAGAAGGAGGTGGGGAGAAGGGGTGGAGGGAAAGAAGCCAAAGTCGTGGACGCCGGCAGCGAACAAGCAAGAAAATGAATGTAGCCTGAGGAGGGGGGGTAAAAGGGGAGAAGGTGGGCGACGCGACTTGATTATATAAAGTCGGTCGATGGTTGGCGGTTATTGTAGCCTTTCCTCTCTGGCTACCTCTACGACCTATCCTAGCGATAGGCTGATAGGGGAGGGGAGGTCTACCCACCTAGCTAGGGACCAAGGGCAGTGGTGGTAAAACTGGGGTGACAGCAGCACACTTTCACCAGCTTGGTGAAGCTCAGGGACCACCTCGCCTTTCGGGAGCAGCTTTCCCCTCCGGGCGAATAGGAGCTGGGCAGTCTGATGTCTCTCAGCCAATCATAAGAGCAACGAATTCGTATTCGGATTTTTGGTTGGACGGTACGTACCCTCTCCAGATCATCCAAACTACCTATCCTTGCCGCACTGGCAACCTCAGCCCAAGATCATGCCATGGGGGAAATCGCATCTGACGGTTTCGACCCATGGAAAGAGACGATTGGAGTTCTCCAGCCATGCTGTTTTGGTCTTGCAAAGGAAATAGGATGCAGACAGGGTAGTGTCATGCCTGAATGGAAGTTCTAGCGTCTTCAGAACGCGGCGAGTACGAAGGAATACATATGAATGCCTGACTGCAGATGCAGTGATGAACAGATATGATAATATGCATACTACTTGAATGGCCGCCATCTACTTCACCCCTTTCAAACATCTCACCAATTCCCAACTGGCAAGCAAACATATCCAACATTCCGTGCTGTGTTGAAAGAAGCTTATCCAGATACTAAAAAGGGGTCAAGCTGGAGCTCAACGGAGCCATATCTTGGCATTCGAGGTTGTGCTTTGCCACAGCGGCTACTCCCGCTCTCGTCTCAATCCCGCCCAAGCAAGTCATCTTGCGTCGTCCCTCGCCTTTGCTGACCACCACTATCTGTCCAGCCAGATTAAAGAAGAAAAATAAACAAAGAAACAAAAGAAAGACGTAGAATTCGCTATTGTTATAGTAAGGTAGTGCAATGGCGTCATCAAATGTTTACGCAAACGTATTCGGATTCATAATTTGATGGATTGGACTTATGATCGAAAATCTGTTGCTGCCGGTTCAGATGTGTATGTATAGTGTAGGTATGTTTATTTGTTGTTAGAATCAGGTGGCTCGGTATCTTCCACTACTATGAGGCAGGTTTCCAACCGAGCCCTTTGTCACTCTACACAAAACCAACCAGATGCATTGACTTGCTTGGTTCAGACATGCAGGAAAACAAGAATCAATGCTGATACTGACAGGAAGCCGGGACATGTTCTATCTAACACCGAAAGTAGAAAACCCATACGAAGAAATAGAGAAAAGCTTGAGTGAATGCGTGTTATGTGGTATCATGAGTGCCCTATCCCAAGAATCCCGGAATAATCAATGCTCCCCCCTTCCCCTTTTTTGTTACCCCGAAAATGAAAGTGTAACTCCTGGTTGAACGCCGTCCAAAATGCGAAAAGCTGCAAAGAATAAGCGCTATGACTGGCAAGTTTGTTGTTGTGGTTGTTGTTGGTTGTGGTTGTGGTTGTTGATGTTGATGCTTCG